GATTTGCAAGTTCTTCTGCAGGCCTTTCCTAGTTTGTCAGGTTTAGCACGTGTCCCTTTCGCCCCCCCCAGGCCAGCTGGGCTCAAACTGCTCTTTTTTTCTTTTTTTCTTTTTTTTTAATTTTTATTTATTTATTTTTTTAAATATTTTTATTGATTTTTACAGAGAGGAAGGGGAGAGAGATAGAGAGTCAGAAACATCGATGAGAGAGAAAACATCGATCAGCTGGCTCCCTGCACATCCCCCACTGGGGGATATGCCCGCAACCCAGGTACATGCCCTTGACCGGAATCGAACCCGGGACCCTTGAGTCCGCAGGCCGACGCTCTATCCACTGAGCCAAACCGGTTTCGGCGAAGCTGCTCTTTTTTAAAAAATATATATTTTATTGATTTTTTACAGAGAGGAAGTGAGAGGGATAGAGAGTTAGAAACATTGATGGGAGAGAAACATCGATCAGCTGCCTCCTGCACACTCCCCACTGGGGATGTGCCCGCACCAAGGTACATGCCTTGACCGGAATCGAACCCAGGACTCTTCAGTCCCGGGTCGATGCTCTATCCAGTGAGCCAAACAGGTTAGGGCTCAAGCTGCTCTTAATGGTACCTGAGGCTGGTCCCTCACCCTCGGTGTCATCAGTAAAACTGGGTGGGTGGGTGAGGCAATCAACAGGGAATTATTTCTTGGACTGCTGAGGTGTGACGGCTGGATGGCAAGGCTTCGTCTGTCCCCGCAGGCTGTGGGCCAGGAGGGCAGGTTTTTGAGGTTTAAGGACTGTGCGACCAGGAGGCCTCGGGACCCCACTCCTGCTTCTTCTCCAGCGCATTCATTCCCAGAGCAGGGTCTCTCTATGCGGTAGATGTTACTACTGTAATCCCATTTTACAGATGAAAAAACAAAGGCTCAGCACTGAGATGGGTCTTACCTGAGCCCCACCCCCGAAAGGCGCCCAGGACCCTCCTCAGCCCGGCGGCAGGGCCTCGTCCTACCTCCCGCTCGACAGACCCGCGCAGTGGGCCGGGCTCCAGGGGTTCGAGTCGTGGACGTTCCCGAGCAGTCCTCGCCGAGGCCGCCTCTGCCTGGTGGAGGCCGGGAGCCTCCCTCCCCACCCGGCCTCCCCGTACCTACCTCCTCCCCTAAGCGCAAACACAGCCCGCCGCTCTGGGAACCCCGGAGTCCACAGGTCCTCCGGGCGCTGGTGCATCATGGGAGGCTCACATCGCCCCCTGGCGGCGTCGGAGAGAACTGCGTGCTCCCTCCCGCGGGGCCCGAGTGGGTGTGGAAACCTCCATCCTTCCCCGCCCCCGCGCTCCAGTATTTACTTTCCTTGACGTCTTCCGGCCCGCGCCCGGAAGTCGGCGGAGATGACCATAGAAACTGGTGGCTAGAGGTGCCCGGATTTGCCCTCTTGGTCCTCACTTCCGCCGGAAGTAACCTCCAGTCGCAAGTGCCCTCTCTGCACGCGCGGGCATCGGGTACCTCGCACCGGTACTCCGGGCGTGAGTACGACCACAATGGCCGTCACCACCTTGCTGCGCGCGACGCCCCTCTTCAGCGGTGAGGAGGCGGGGAGGGCGATGACACATGGGGGTCCGGGGACACGTGGGGGTCGTCGGGAGTGGCCGAGCTCCGACCTGACTGCACGCCTCTGCCCCGGCAGGTCTTGGCGCCGGCCCGACCCCACTCCTGCAGGGCCTGTTGCGGCCGCTGACGGCCCCGGCACTGACCCTCTTGTGCCGCGGCCTGGCCGTGGAGGCCAAGAAGACCTATGTGCGCGACAAGCCCCATGTGAACGTGGGTACCATCGGCCATGTGGACCACGGCAAGACCACACTGACCGCGGCCATCACGAAAAGTAAGCGGGTTGCAGAGGGGCCATCCGGCAGCGCCCGCTCTGCAAGCGGGACCTGGAGCCAGGGAGGCGGGGCCCGCACAGTGGCCGCTGGAGGTGTTTAGGGTCTGTAGCCCCAGGAGCCAGCACTCCAGTGGGCGGGGGGTGGGACTGGAAGATTTCCGTTCAGGAGACAGATTTCCCCTGAACAGAAGAACTTTGTGGTGCATAAATTGGGGGACCCTGAATGGCCTCCCTCTAGCCATAGGGACCGCCCTGTAAGCGGAGGCTTTACCCTAGAAAGTCGCTGAGCACGACCTTCAGGCCTTTATTTCTTTCTGACTGGTGATCTCTGCAGAAGTTGAGGGAGGGTCCATCCCCAGGCTGTCCGATTAAGGTTGTGTAAGTGGGGGGGACCTAGGCGTGTGCCCTGAGCCCCGCCTCTACCTCTGGAACTGTAGCTGAGAGCTGTGTTCTCTTGCCTTCGCCATTAGTTTTAGCCGAGGGCGGTGGGGCCAAGTTTAAGAAGTACGAAGAGATTGACAATGCCCCGGAGGAGAGAGCCCGCGGTATCACCATCAATGCAGCTCACGTGGAGTATAGCACTGCTGCCCGCCACTATGCCCACACAGACTGCCCCGGGCACGCAGATTACGTTAAGGTGAGAGCATTGCTGGGACAGGCCAGGAGCTGCCTCTCATCAGGAGAAACGTTAGGCTTGTGGGAGGAGCTTAAGATACTCAAGATGTCTAGGTTTGAGATCACGGATTTGTGGGCATGGCCGATTAAAGTGGGTGGTGAGATGGCAGAGAAAGGTGATGTGGAGCTGAGGTCACTGAACGAGGCTGTGTTTCCTCTCCGACCCAGAATATGATCACAGGCACTGCCCCCCTTGACGGCTGCATCCTGGTGGTGGCAGCCAATGACGGCCCCATGCCCCAGACCCGAGAGCACTTACTACTGGCCAAACAGGTATGCGGAGCCTGGGTAGGAGTGGGAAGAGGAAGCGTGGAGAGTTGGGCCACTGAGGACACCATCTCCCTCTTTCCCATCTGCAGATTGGAGTGGAGCATGTTGTGGTGTATGTGAACAAGGCAGATGCTGTCCAGGACTCTGAGATGGTGGAGCTAGTCGAGCTGGAGATCCGGGAACTGCTCACAGAGTTTGGCTACAAAGGAGAGGAGACCCCGGTCATCGTAGGCTCTGCCCTCTGTGCCCTTGAGGTGAAGGCAGGGTCAGGCCGGGGCTGCTGTGGCAGAGGATGGGGCGGGATAGGCATCCGGAGCTGTGCTCTGAGTCTGGGGGGTACTAGTAGTTCTTGGTAAGCAGAATGGGAACTTCAGAGTCCTGTCATACCCCTCCCCCACCCTTCCAGCAACGGGACCCTGAGTTAGGCCTGAAGTCTGTGCAGAAGCTGC